GCTAGGAGCTGGAACCAACTTCCAAGGGAAGTGGTGCTGGCCCCTACCCTGGGGGTCTTTAAGAAGAGGCTGGATGCCTACCTGGCTGGACTCATTTGAGTCCCGTTTCTCTTTCTGGGGTTTTTTGTTGTTCTCCCGCCCTGGCGGGGGGTCGGGCTAGAAGATCTACTAGGTCCCTTCCGACCCTTAATCCATGAATCCATGAATTGGCCCAAAAAATTTGCTGGTACACCCCTAATAATGACAAAGAGAAACTTTGGGATGATAGAAAAAGCGTAGCTTAAATAGGCCAGTAAAAAAATTTTAATTTAAACTTTAGACTTCATAGGCATAAATACCATATCAGACCATGTCAATGAGGTACACACTTAAGATCCACCGACCTAAATTACCAATTTTCTCTAAAACAATTAACAAAATACAGACTTCAATGGAACTCAAGCACATGCCTACAATAAGCATGTGAAGTGTCTCAATGAACTTGGGACTGTCAAAGTGGCCAAAAAAGGTGTGGGGATAGTGAGATTTACTAGTACCTGGCCCCTCTGTTGACCTGCTTGCGTGACTGAGGGCTATGTGAGAGGAGAAAACATAGCTTGAACACACTGAATAAAGTCTCCTGACTATAAATGGCATTAGCACCAGTAGAAATGCTGCCATCTACAAATAAACCAACCCTCCCTCATAAGTAGGGCTCTACTTAACTCGCAATGAGACAAAGCAATTTCATGGCTTGGTCATGGCACAAAGAACCGATTTTGTAGGTACTTCCTAGAGGCACCGTCCCTTGCTGCCGATTGGCAGAGAGGCAATGGGTGGGGGGGAGAAGAGCTGGGGGTGGCAGCCATCTTTTCTGCTGCCCCTCATCCAACCCTGCTAGCCAGCACTTTCCCCTCCTGGGGCAAGCTGCAAGGCCAGGCTGCAAGCAGCAGCAAGAACCATCGGCTCCCACTGGGAAGCCAACATTTTATTCATTTTTGCTGCTGGTGCTGTTGATTTAGCAGTTTCCATTAAATCTGCAAAGCCATGATTTAAGTAGACCCCTACTCATCAGTGTTCAATCCAGAGGTAGGCAATTATTTTGGGTGGAGGGCCGCTTATGCAGTTTTGGCAAGCTGTTGAGGGCTGCATGGGTAGCCCCGCCCCCGGTCACCAACTTAGGACCAATGTCCCAGTGTCTTGGGACCAATGTCTTCGGGCCAGCACCAGTGGGGCCAGAAGCAGGGCGCAGGCTGGCAGGGGTCTGTGAAGTCAGGCTGGGCTGCACCAGCAGGGACAGGTGGGAGCTGATCCAGCTCCATAGAGCTGCTGCCGGCCTAGACCCTGGACCCGCCACCCTGCTCTGGGTCCCGCCGGCATTGGCCCCAGGACACCAGTGTGGGCCCCATGTTCCTACTCACTCCCAGTGCCCCCCAGTGCCATGGTAAAGGCAGGGGGCAGCCCTAACCCCTGCTCGCCAGCAGAGAACAAGCTGGTGCTAAGCACGGGGGTGGTGGAGAAGCAGCCCCTCTCCTGCCCCATGGCCAGCACTCCCTGCTGCAGCTGTCCTGAGCAGGCACAGGCAGCCCCACACAGACTGCATGCAGCTGCAGCGCAGGGAGCCAGGCACCGGGCGGGCAAGGGGCCACTTTTCCCACGCTCAAAACCAGCTTGTAAGCTGCTGCCAGCCTGGGCCCCATGCAGCTCCAGGCTCGCCCATCGGGGCTACACCATGGCAGCTGCAGCCCTCCCCCCCTTGCCATGCCAGGCAGTATCTGCCACCACCATGTAGCCCCGCAGGCAAGACCCAGCACATCTGGGAACAGTGGGGCCACACCAGGATCTCCTCAGGCCCCCGCCACACCTCCTGTACCTGCCGCTGCTTTGAGTGGCAGAGCCCCACGCCACTTCCTTCAGGGCAGCCCCACATGCAGGAGGCACATTGCTGGGGTAGCGCAGAGCGAGCAGCTACTAAGATCCCTGCATGGCTCCTCTGTTCCCAGCTGCCCTGCTCCCCTCCCTACAACTTGGTGCAGCTGGGGACAGAGAAGCCACACGGGGATCTTGTAGCAGCTGCTTACTCTGCACTGCCCCAGCAATTCGCCGCCTCCACATGGGGTTGCACTGAGGGAAGCGGCAGGTGCAGGAGGTGCAGTGGGGGGGGGGGGCAAGGAGATCCCAGCGTGACCCCAGTTTCCAGCTATGCTGGGTCTTGCCTGCAGGGCTACAGCAGCCCCTAAGGAGGGAAGCAGGGCAGGAGCTCAAGCCTGCAGCCTGCCCCCTCACATATCTGGAGGCGCGGGTTCCCCTTACCACCCAGGAGTTCACACCGCTGCCAGGAGCCAGCCCCGCCCCTGCCCCAGTCAGCAGCAGGCAGCTGTGGGGGAGCCGGCTCCATGCTCCTGCTGCAGCTGTGAACCCGAGTCCCTGGTCCCATAGCTCTGGCAGCTGAGGGCCCCCCTCTGGTAGGGAAAGGGGGAAGAGGCTGTGGGTGGGGAGCAGGGGGTACAAGCAGGGCTGGAAGGCTGTTGTGGGGGCAAAGAGGGCGCCAGCAGGGCTGGGGAGGCTGTGGGGGAAGTGAGGAGCACTAGCAGGGCCAGGAGACAGCGGGGGGACTTTTAATCATGGATTTTGGGGGTTTTATCAGAGAATTTGCAATTTTTTTTTATCACAGAAAGCCAGGATCCCAGATAACTTTATCTGACGACTGGACATCAGCCATTGCTGGTATGGAAAACGAGTGCCTGAATTCCTTGCACATGAAGCTGCATCACTTCTGACTAAAAGCTATGAGAAAAGGAGTGCAAAAGAAATGCTGGTGACCATGGTTGCAAATTAGACCTACTCACCACTTAACTTTGCAGGTTTGTGTGTTCCACTCCACAATGTGTTTGTCCTCAGAACAGCTATACAAGCAACCATTGTCCTGGTGCCACCGTATACAGTTTATTTTATTGTCATGACCACCATCCTAAAAAAGAAGCAAAAGCTTTGATTATTAGTGGACAAGTGAAAGAGGCCTCAGCATATAAATTTTCTTGCTATTAAAAATATACAAATAATTTCTGAAGGGCTAATTCACATTTTGGAAACATATGGAGAAGTTAGACAAGAGTATTTACCCAGAGAAATGGGCTTTTTCTATCACTTTTTTCCTTGGTGCAAGGGGAGTGTGTCATGTACACAAGCATTCTAGGTTTTTGAATAGGTTTGTAAAGAGGACGAACTTCACTTGTTCTCTGAAGTCACAAAGCAAGAAATCTCCCCCCACAACCTTCCTCCCAGTAACAGAACAAGCTACAGAACTTGCTAGTCTTTCTCCTTGGCCATACAGATCTCAGAGACCATTTGTCCAAGCAAACTGCTAAATGGCTGCCTATATACACAACCTCACGCTGATCACTCCAGACCAGACCAAAGGACTCAGAAAGACATACCAACTATGTTTCCCATCTGTCTGATCAAAATAGCTGCACGCTCATAAGCATGGGGAACACACAGCTTAATGAGCAAAGCAAACTGTTGAATGTCTCACTGTTATCATCAGGATGCCACACAAGGTAAAGGATGTCATGACACAAACTAAACAATGGCCAAATCTGAAACCCAAAAGAAAGGATATTTTGGGAGAGGAAGAAAGGAAAGATGAGAAGGAGAACTAGAACTACTACTATAAGTGTTTCCAATCTTAGGATTTTAGGGAAGGCTGGTCAATGATCAGTTATCAAATAATTCTGGTGCCATACATCTCAGAGACATTTCAGTGTGAAACAACATGCACTGCTTATGCTTCAAATGAGACCTTCTACTAGAACCTTATTTCACAAAGATTTTGTTCTACTATAGGTAATAAATGAAACATACCTTGAAAAAGTTATCGGACCCCCCCCCCCCGATTATATTAATTTTATAGAAGTAATAAAAAAGTCTTAGCAGCTGAAAGGTCAAACTACATTTCCTTTATATTTCTCAAATTTCTCTATTTAAGTCAGCACAAGCCTGCTCAGACAGCCAAGAGGAAAACGTCTTCACTGCCAATTAGTAGT